TATGAAAAAGGTGGGCTATATGAAAAATTGGTTAATTAGGTAATTATTATATTATATAATTATTATATAATATAATAATTACCTAATTAACCAATTTTTCATATAGCCCACCTTTTTCATATTGCGCACCTTTGAGCACCAACTTTGTTTATCTTGTGTTTCTTCATTTCAATTCCACCCTAATTCACCTATATTGCCTTTGCTAATTGATGAAATTTCCCCAAGGTTGTTGATCAAAACTTTTAAGGGAACAGATTTTGATGGCTATTTCTTATATCTACTGTTACAGTTTTCATGCAATCCACAAAACTTCAACGCTTGCCCCTGGCATCACCTAGAAAAACTCCTGTACGGAAAACTGCAAGCAGCAGCCCTCATCGCACAATCAGCCCCGTTAAACGTCCGACCAGGAAAAAGACAAACAGCTTATCACCAAGCCACTCAGATACTGGTTTAGTTTCATCATTTAGAAAGCTTTCAATTGGTTCCAGTCCTCATCCACCATCACGTTCAAAAAGCACTTCTCCTAGGAAGCTTAAGTCAAACTATGTGCGAAAGATTAGCACTGCTGCTGTGAATTCAGTGGAGGATATTGTGAATCTCATCAAAGGAGACAAATGTAAGAATATCATTGTCATGGCTGGTGCTGGCATCAGTACTCCCAGTGGAATTCCTGACTTCAGGTAATTGAGGTCATGTTCTATGTCAAGTTCCTCACCATGGAACAGTTAAACATTTTAACCTTTTCACCTTTAGTTACAGTGCAACTTCTCGAACTGGGGCACCTGGGAGAAGATTATCCAATCACAACATTTTTTGAAAACAAAAGATTCTTCTTTTTTTCACAAACGGACCAATAAATTTCAAGGTTCAACCATGCAACCGTTGAAAACTATATAACTATTTGAACTTAGGAAACAGCCCTCAAATTCATGAAAGTTATTGGTCTGTTTGCAAAAAAAACTTGAAAACCTTTTTTTTTTCAAAAACTGTTGTGATTGGATAATCTTCTTCCAAGTGCCCTTGTTCGGTTTAACCAAGAATAATATTAGGTAAACTCAATTTCAACAATATTACCCAAAATCCTGTCCCTTTTGCAATTGAAGAAACTTCCTTGAGATGAAAAATTATTTCAGACTCCAAAAAAGTCCTTGATCCCCCAGCCCCCACCCTTATCCTGCCCAAGTTATTCCAACATTCGATAGTGTTGCTAGCCAGTTGATGAGTATCAGGGCAACCATGCAATTCCATTATCCTGTGGATGGGAATTTATCTGGCAGATAGTGTTATCCACCTTTTAAACAACTGGGGCCTGGAGGATACTCAATATTATACACCTTGGGTATCTGAGTAGGCTTGCAGCCGAATAGCAGAAAATGTACTGATACCATCAGGCTGACTGCCAACCATGATTGCTGGAGTGCTTTGGCTGCCTCTTGAATTTCCAGATGTTAGATCCCCTAAGCTAACTGCAAACATGTGTTCCTCTTTTCATTTTTTCCCTTTTATGCATGCAGGACACCAGGGACTGGACTTTATGATAACTTACAGAAGTACAAAATCCCAGAGCCAACAGCCATCTTTGACTTAGATTACTTCTGGTATGACCCAAGGCCATTCTTCTGTCTAGCAAAAAGTTTGTATCCTGGGAATTACCAGCCAAACTATGTGCACTACTTTATAAAGATGCTTCATGACAAAGGATTGCTTCTGAGAATGTACACACAGAACATTGATGGACTGGAAAGATGTAAGCCTGCATGATTATGCAAATTGTACCCTAGTTCAAAGTAATGTGGGTCAATTTTTTGTTTCCACTCCTGTGCATGTTTTGCTTTGTAAGAGTATCACATTTCGTGTACCAAAACGTTGGGACTGAAACTCAGTATTTCTAATAGCTGTGCAAAATGCTGCTGCTCAGGGCCTAATGTTATATCCCTTTGAAACCAACTTAAAATTAATGGTATGAAAAAAAAACCCAGTCTGTGAACGCTACATTGGTAAGAAAAAACAATGGGAAAGGAACATTCTTGTTCCCACAGCTTCGATCCTTCTGACCAGCCCTATGGATTGAGTGAGCTCTTGCTGCAGGCCGAGGATAATGGGCAAGTGCAGTTTGTACATTCACAAATTTATGAGGCTCTGCAGAAAATCAGAAGAACTGTGATTTGCAGCTTCCAGCTATGGTCCCACCTAGAGCTCTTGATCCATTGCACTGGCCAAAAGGACGAGAATAAGAAAAAGAGCAGGAAAAATTGATATGAGAGTGGGAGAAAAAGTTGTTATTTTTGCAAAAATATGAGGTATATGGTATACACAGAACTTAACTCATAATCATTTACATGTACATCGCAACAAGCATATTGTAAATTACATGGAGGTAGGAGCAAAAAAATTGCAAGTCTCTGAAACTGGAAAATTAGCATGTGTAGAACTACAGTCAGCTGTGGTTCAGTCAGAGTATAGGTAGTTGACATTGGCTCTAAAAAGCCATCAAAGTCAGAATGTTTCAGTTGTTCCTGTAAACGTTCTTCAATATTTTAGTTTGTCAATACATGTACTTTACAGCTTAGCAACCATTATTCATCCCATCATTAACAGTTTTTAAAGCCTGGGGTCAATAAAATTTTACGAGACTCGTTACACTTAGCCTCCCCGCAGACGTCCTTTGGGGTTCGTTTGTCACGCATTCAACAAACGAACCCCAAAGGACGTCTCTGAGGAGGCTACATTACACTTAGTGTAACTTACAAGCTTAGCCATTGTTGTAGAGTCTGAAAACAACAGCTCTAAGGAAATTGAAGGGAACCAAGCTAAGTGGTCTGAACCTGAAAATCGAGGGTGCTCAGAATATTTGTTTGAAAAAAAAAACACAAAGATTTTCTAGTTGCCCAAGAGCAAGGGTTGGGTGCCAGTGGCCACTGGGCTCTGCTAGACTTATAGTAATTTGTTTTCTTTGGTTCACCAATTTAGTGGCTGATATACCAGCAACAAAGCTAGTGGAAGCTCATGGTACATTCTCAACAGCCTCATGCATACGATGCCATAAGAACTATGATGGAGAGCAAATAAAGGTGAGATTTGTACCAGATGAGGGATGATGCTGCCAATCCTCCTACCTGACTGAAATATTAGTAACATGTTTTGATGACAATATTTTAAAAGACCATATATATATGGTAGTCCTTGTGATTATGATTTTTTCAACCTAACCCAATCAACATTGTTTGAAAACATATACTGACAGTCATGTAGTTCTAATTCATTATGAGAGGANCATTCTTCTGTCTAGCAAAAAGTTTGTATCCTGGGAATTACCAGCCAAACTATGTGCACTACTTTATAAAGATGCTTCATGACAAAGGATTGCTTCTGAGAATGTACACACAGAACATTGATGGACTGGAAAGATGTAAGCCTGCATGATTATGCAAATTGTACCCTAGTTCAAAGTAATGTGGGTCAATTTTTTGTTTCCACTCCTGTGCATGTTTTGCTTTGTAAGAGTATCACATTTCGTGTACCAAAACGTTGGGACTGAAACTCAGTATTTCTAATAGCTGTGCAAAATGCTGCTGCTCAGGGCCTAATGGAGGATACTTAACCAACTTAAATGGTATGAAAAAAAAACCCAGTCTGTGGAACGTTACATTGGTAAGAAAAAACAATGGGAAAGGAACATTCTTGTTCCCAGAGCTTCGATCCTTCTGACCAGCCCTATGGATTGAGAGAGCTCTTGCTGCAGGCCGAGGATAATGGGCAAGCGCAGTTTGTACATTCACAAATTTATGAGGCTCTGCAGAAAATCAGAAGTACTGTGATTTGTAGCTTCCAGCTATGATCCCACCTAGAGCTCTTGATCCATTGCACTGGCCAAAAGGATGAGAATAAGAAAAAGAGCAGGAAAAATTGATATGCAAGTGGGAGAAAAAGTTGTTATTTTTGCAAAAATATGAGGTATATGGTATACACAGAACTTAACTCATAATCATTTACATGTACATCGCAACAAGCATATTGTAAATTACATGGAGGTAGGAGCAAAAAAATTGCAAGTCTCTGAAACTGGAAAATTAGCATGTGTAGAACTACAGTCAGCTGTGGTTCAGTCAGAGTATAGGTAGTTGACATTGGCTCTAAAAAGCCATCAAAGTCAGAATGTTTCATGTACTTTACAGCTTAGCAACCATTATTCATCCCATCATTAACAGTTTTTAAAGCCTGGGGTCAGTAAAATTTTACGAGACTTGTTACACCTAGCCTCCCCGCAGACGTCCTTTGGGGTTCGTTTGTCACGCATTCAACAAACAAACCCCAAAGGACATCTCCGAGGAGGCTACGTTACACTTAGTGTAACTTACAAGTTTAGCCATTGTTGTAGAGTCTGAAAACAACAGCTCTAAGGAAATTGAAGGGAACCAAGCTAAGTGGTCTGAACCTGAAAATCGAGGGTGCTCAGAATATTTGTGTGAAAAAAAACACACAAAGATTTTCTAGTTGCCCAAGAGCAAGGGTTGGGTGCCAGTGGCCACCGGGCTCTGCTAGACTTATAGTAATTTGTTTTCTTTGGTTCACCAATTTAGTGGCTGATATACCAGCAACAAAGCTAGTGGAAGCTCATGGTACATTCTCAACAGCCTCATGCATACGATGCCATAAGAACTATGATGGAGAGCAAATAAAGGTGAGATTTGTACCAGATGAGGGATGATGCTGCCAATCCTCCTACCTGACTGAAATATTAGTAACATGTTTTGATGACAATATTTTAAAAGACCATATATATATGGTAGTCCTTGTGATTATGATTTTTTCAACCTAACCCAATCAACATTGTTTGAAAACATATACTGACAGTCATGTAGTTCTAATTCATTATGAGAGGAAACTTAGGCACCAGTGAACTTAAAAAAGAATCCCATTCAGTGTCAAAAGGCAGGGTGCAAAGAAAGTCAGTTTTACAGCCTGCTATTCTGGCAAGCTGTAGCTAGAATGTACTAGCCTGCAAGTCATTTCAACTAGCCCCAAAACCCATTTTGATTGGCAGGATTGATTACAATCCTTCTGTAATTTGAATTTCCCCAAAAAGCAGCACTTGCCCATTGGGCAAGTTAAGAACAAAAATCGCCAGCCCAATAGCAAAATCCACTAGCCCCGGGCTATCGGACACGACTTTCTTTGCACACTGAAAGGCTACTACTTGAGGGCACTTTACAGTACATATATAGTAAAAATTACTTCAGTTAAAATGAAGTAGTTTTTTACTTTACGTAGCCATTTCTAATTTTACTACTTTTTTAAAGTCTCTGGTACAGCCTATACAATTAGGTTACTTTTAATTAACTTTGTAATTAACCTTATCCTTGATGTGTGAAGGGCAGGTTTGCACACACAGATCAGTTTCAATACTTTTATTGTTCTTGTGTTTTCTGCGAAACTTTTTCCTGGTGTCTTTTCATTTAGAGACAGGTTAAGATTCACCTTTTAAACCATTGAACTTCTTAATAGAAATTCTTTATTTCATTTTTTATTTTTTATTTTGTTATCATATTATATAAGTATTGTGAAAGCACCATGAACTGTTAGGATACAATGCATTATATAATTCCTTACTTATAATGATGATGATGATGATGTAAGATAATTATTATCATTTAAAGAGACAGATGTTTTATTGATTTTTACACAGAAAACAATCATGAACGGAGACATTCCCAGATGTTCCAGCCCAAGATGCACAGTGAGTCGTTGGTCTCTCTATTAAAAAAGAGACTTGTCTCTGAAAGTTACAGTATTCATCATTGGGTTTTGTACATTTTCATAACTGTATAAAAACTCTAGGACCGAGACCTTAACATTATTTTTAGTGCTTATTAAATGCCTTGTTTCTTCCACTGGTGCTGTAAGAGGGTAAATTACAGGGTAAATTCCAACAAATTATTTTGCCTAAGGGGCAGTGACCGTGCTGCAACATAAAAATAATGAACTTGGAAAGAACAAAAGACAGCCTTGATTTTTTTTTTTTTAATATTATTGCTAACAGTGATGTTAAGTATTGACATTGAAACAATCACACAGAGGCACAGAGTCAAACACTTTTGAGAAATCTGAAAATGTAACATCAGTGGGTCTTGATTTATTTCTTGATAAAGCCTTGTGAATGTCTTACAAGGAAGTCCTTCTCACAGTACCACACTATTACAGACACTAGTCCCAAGGTGTTCCTAATAACAGGAGTAGCCCACGTTATTCTAACATGACTCTGAGGCTTTCTGGTCATTTTTCTATATTTGGTTTGACTTCTTTGCACGCAAGTCTCTTCTGAGAGTTGCACGACAACGTAGTCGTGAAAAACTTGCAATTTTGTCGCTAAAGTGTTGGAGTCAGGGTAGCATTTTAATTTATCAAACATGGACTATTGACAGTAATGAGGTTAAAGTGTATTTTTTTTCTGTAGGGTGTTATCAAGCCAGACATCATCTTCTTTGGAGAAGACTTGCCCAAGCGGTTTTACTCATATATTGTAGATTTTCCAAAGTGTGACCTTCTTCTTATCATGGGAACCTCACTGGAGGTGAGGCAGTATTAACATTTACCAGAGTCCATACTTACCCAGCCAGAGCGAGCAACTTCTATGTACTTGTGTCACCTTTCACTGACCAGTTTATGTTTAGAACGATTTTGGTGCAAATTTAGAATATCAAAAAGAGCCATGTGATTATGGGCTCTTGATATTGTTTAATTCCCACAGACCATAGCCTGCATCGCAGACACTCTAAACCTTCTAGGTCCATACAAATGGTTTAGACGATGCCTGGGCGGGCTGTAACGCAGGCTACACAAACCAGTCCACAAATTAAAAAAACCTACAGACCTGAAAATGGTATTTTTGACCTTTAAATGACATTTAGTTTTCCATGTTTGATATGTTACACTTCCAATGAGCTTATATGGAGCAGAGCCTCTATTTCCACCAGAAAATGTGCTTTTCACGGTGGAACTTCATACAACAAACCTCTTATGTAACGAAGTCCTCAATATAACAAATGATTTTCTTTACCACAGTAATAGTAAAATATATGGATTACAAAACCTCGTTTTAGGGGACAAATTTTGTCAGTCCCTTGGCCCTTTGTTTTATCGAGGTTCTACTACAAAAGTAAGCCGTTCTTTGAAAACGCCCTGACATAGGCCTAGTATGGAAGTTTCTCCCTCTGGGATATTGGCTCAGGGCATTTTAGCTTTCTTGGGTAAAATTTTTCTTGTTCTGAAAACAAGGAGAACGAAAATTAACAAGCACTGTAAAAGCTGAAAATAACAGTTGGTCATTCTACACTATGCTAAAATTTGCCCAACATGCAACAAAATCCTACCTACAGTCAGAACAGATTAAATAGCAGAGACTATCATTTGAAGCTGGGGATTACATAGTATGTATACTTAAAGAAATATTTAAAGTCGACGTAATGTATGCTTAGCAACTTTACTGGTTTGTCCACCTAAAATGTTCAGCTGCTCCGAAATTATTGTCCCCTCTTAAAAGAATGCAGCCCTGGCTTAGCTCTGCCTGGTTAGCTCAGTTGGGAGAATGCCGGTCTGCTGAGCGGGAGGTCTCGGGTTAAAACCCTGGCCGGACCAAAACTCAGAGTCTTTAGATAACTAAGAAGAAAGTGCTGCCTTTGTAATGACATCTGCAAACAGTTAGACTTTCTAGTCTTCTCGGATAAGGAGGAAAAACAGTAGGTCCCGTCTCACAGCACTGTCACTTATGTGGTTCTTAATACAGGGATAACCTCATGATCCTCCTTCAGGAGTCGTAATGACAACCTGTAAACAGTGTATGTATGACCTTTTTTTTCATCAGGTGGAGCCATTTGCAGGGATAGCAAGTGCAGTGGATCACTCCACGCCACGTCTTCTTCTAAACCGAGAGATCGTAGGACCTTTCTTGCGATGCTGGGAGAGAAGATCCAATGACATTGTCCTACAAGGAGACGTTGTTGAGGGAGTAAAGAAACTGGTAAACCTCTTGGGATGGTCTGATTCAATGGACACTATAGTAACCACTGCTAGTGACAAATGGAAGGATCACTTGTCGAGTATGAGTACTCATGTGAACAGTGCTTCTGAACAGCTTGCCAAAAGTATTGGCAAAACGAAAGAAGGGGTTCAGAAAGACAAAGTGGTAACAAGTGGTTATGAAAATAAGAAATGTGAAACAGATGCATCATCTAAGGCCGGTTGTGGTGCAACAGCAAATGGAACAACAAATGGTTCAGGATTAAGCCCTTTTGGCACCAGAACATTTCACTCTCTTGCCAATGGTTTTGGAGGGAAAGGCATGCTCTATAGAACTCCCAAAAGTGCCTTGTTCATGAGCAGAGAGGGCCCAATGAGACCTAACTCGACAGTGCGGCGAGGTCCTCTCCTACCATTCAGGTACACACAGAGGAATGATTTGAACACCCAAGACAAAAGCAAAGACTTCAAAGTTATTGATCCTAGTAAAGATCTTGCCAGTGCAGGATTTGGTCTTGGAAGGAGAAGTATGGGTTTGGGCTGCTTTTTAGCAGGAACTACAGGTGAAAGCTCCAGTGACGATGACTAAGAAAGTGGCACCTTGTTTTAAGGCTTCAAGGTCCCTAAATGAAAGGGACTAACATTATAGTATTTAAGGATATTAAAACATGATGTTTGGGTGACGTCATGTCACCTTTATCAAATGCAAATGAAAGAGACTGAAACAATATATTTATATAGAAATAAAACTACAAGGTGTTTCACACCTTCATTTCCATTATCAAATGCAGATGAAAGAGACTATGAAACAATAATTATATAAAGGAAACAGACAACAAGGTGACTCTGTGACCTTTGTTTCCTATTGTCATTTCATGGTCTCTTTGCATTAGGTAATGGTGACATGTCACCAGAATGTCATGTTTTAATGGTGTTGCTTTTTATCCTTAAATGTTCCATAAAATCTTTCATTATCAACATTATAGTATATTAACAATATTATTCCACGAGTGCGCATTAGATATGAGATGTAATAATAATAGTTTTGTAAATAAAAAATGCACTTTATTTGAGTTTCAATGTATTTAGTACGGAAGTGCTAATTGGGGACACTATTTTTACGTCAACAAATGAAGATGAGACCGCCATTTTACGTGGTCATCCGAGCCACGTAAAGGTCTCGCCACTTGCCGTGCAAAGGGAGTACCTTCATTTCTCTAACCCCTAGCCTCCACGGGTTAAGGGGTGGAGAGAGCTGACATTTCAGACTAGTCAGTGCATTCCAATTTGCTGAATTCCAGACTGCAAAATAAAAATACAACAAATAATAATTTTTCAAAGCACTTTTAATGAACACCTATAAGCAGACAGCCATGTTTACAATGGCTGCCTTGACAAAATCCCATTTTACTCTCCCCTAACAAAAAGTATACCCTCAAGTGGCCATCACGGCCAGCTCAATTTTTAGCCTACATGTAGCCATTCCCTTCCTTCATGGAGGAATATGAAAAACATGTCTTGGAATATTTTTTTAAAAGTAAAAACAGAACAAGAACCAAGATTATATACAAACACCAATAATAAAGTTGTAGAGTAAAAAGTTATATTACTTATTGAACTACAGAACAAAACTTCCTATGATTGCTATCATCCATTTTTTTCACAGACATCACCAGTAACATTAGTTGTCTCTGGGTGGTCCTAGAGCACAACCCTGAAGCTTAACATAGAAGATTATAATTCTAAATTGTTTGGAATACAGTCAATGTATCAGGTGGCCTAAGACCCCAAGTAAAATATTGTCATCTCTTGTCATGTATTACATATTTTCCACACTCCAATATTAATGTATGAGATACTCCATTAATTTATTTTATTACAATAATAAATTTATTAATTAACAGGGTTTGACGTCACACTTGGAATTTTATGGTCCCAGTCTGGGGGATGGGGGTGGGGTTGAGGAGGGGGCCACAAAATGATATGAAAACTGTGAAACCATAGAAACAATAAAGGTACTTGTTGCATTGTCACCGTATTGATGGTTACCTACTGAAATGCTGTTAATACTTATGATACCTTTCCCTCCAGCACCTAACAAATGACGTTCTACACGGCATGATGAATAAACTTCCAGCTGTGGTGAGCCTTGGAAACTGGGCATAATTATGTAGCCTATTACAAGTACATAGCTTTTCAAGTCAACAATGCCAAAGTGATCTAAGCACACAATACTTGGCAATAAATATTGTGTGGCAAACAACTGAAGGGGTCATAAGACAAAACTAGTTTTGGCCACTCTTTACAGCAGCTAAAGAGGGCTATCAAATTTTCGTCCCCCTCTGGTTCCATATAATCCCAACTAAATGTCCACTCATTTGAAACTTGCGGACAGCAAAAATGTCCAAGTCCAAACCTACACTTTACAATTTTGAATTAAAAATCTCCAAATGAGTCCAACATTTCGAAGCAGTCTACACCATTGTCTGTCTGCCCAATGTAATACCTCATTTACATTGAACATCACTCCAAAATCTGAACACAGGTAGAATCAACAACCACAACAATTTGGCCACTTTTCAAAACAGCCAAAGAATCTGGGCGCACGTAATTTTTTTTATTTTTACAATAATGCATCCCAACCAGATTTCCATTCAGTTCAAAGACTTGAATTCTATTGTTTACTGCATCACAGACAAGCAACTGTCCAAACTTGTTCACTGACAAACACTCAGGACGACAAAACTGCCCAGGTCCATGACCCCGCTCTCCAATCTTATGCAGAAAATTTCCACTTGAGTCAAAAACTTTGACGCAATCTTCCCCATTATCTGCTACTATCAAGTATTTATTATACCGGACACAGTGCCAAGGCTGGGAAAAAGAACCGTGTTGTCCAATCTTCATTAGAAACTTCCCTTCAGGAGAAAAGATTTTAATGACTTGATTACCAGCATCGGCAACAATAACATTACCATCATTGTCAACAGATAACCCCAATACACGATTAAGCTGACTATTAGAGCTTCCTCTGCCACCAAACTCTCTTAAATACTTTCCTTCCTTGTTAAAAATCTTTATCTTATTGTCATCTGCAACAAAAATATCACCATTCTTACCATATGCTATTCCACCAGGAAATCTAAAACTTCTGCTACCAAAGGACCTTAAGTAATCTCCAGAAGTACTATAGATATAAGCAGAATGGTTTTCATTATCTGTCAATGCAATTTCATCATAATCATTCACCGCTACACCCCACAGATGTGCATTATCAAATGACACCCTCCAGGATGAAATTTTTCTCAGTTCAAATGGCTTTACTTGCACTTCAAAGGGACTACCATGAATGTGCTCTGCATTTACTTTCACAGATAGTTTCCACTTTCCTTGGTCTCCGGGAAAATAGCTCACATCGTACGTTCCATTTTTGTTACAATTATTTATTGTTGTTTTCATTTTGGGCTCTGTCTGCCCTTCACCTCTTATCATACTCACAGTTACATGGTCATTGTGGTTGTAACACTGTCTGCCTGAGAAGTTTCTTGTGATCACAACAAAAGTTGCTTCACATCCAATCCAAGCCTCCTCAAGTCCTGCTCCTTTTGCAGTAGAGCGACTTGCCTCTGTTTCATGTGGCATTCTAAAAGAACCAATTTCATACGAGTTGACAGTGTCAAACATCTTCTGATTTTCCTGAAACATTGTAAAAAGACAACCTTTAGAGTCCATATCTCTTGGCTGGGTGTGGTCACCTCCCTCAAATATATTGTCCAGGGATGATTTCAACTGAATAATCTCACTGTCTCTACTATATGCAAATAGCTTATCAGCCTTTTCCAATGATGACTGCATCACCTTAATTTGATTTGCAATATTAGTCTTCTGCTCCGTGATGCTGTCTACCGCTTTCTTTGTGTGGTTTTCCAAAAACTGCAGAGCACTTTGCTTCTTTACTTCAATAACTGATACCAAACTATCAGCAAACCTTTGAATAGTTTTGGTTATGTCATCACTATCTTGTAACAGTTTAGCCAAGTCTTCATCAAGTTGACTCATCGCACTCATCTTTATTTCTAAGCTTTGCCTCTGTGATTCGATCATGTTCTTTACCACTGGCTTTAGTTTCTCAGCTTCTTCTTCCACTAAGACCAGAGCGTGACCAACATGCCCCAACGTAACACATGTTTGACAAAGTGCTGCTTGACATTCCCTGCAAAAGAATTCCAACTTCTTCTCCTTGTGCCGTGGTTTCTGGCAAAACAAAGGTCGCTTTAACATATCCTCGTAATCCTGGTCTTCAAACTCTTTGATCGCCAAAACACGATGTTCTCTATTGCTTCGAATGACATCATGTCCAGTCTTGCACCCTTGACACCAAAACAAGCAACATTGGAAGCAGTAAAAAGCCTGGGAGCTCTTCTGGTCGCAATTTCCGCAACTTACTTCGCTGCTGTTGCATTCTTTTATTGCTAGGACATCAATCAATCCGTTCAAATAAAAGCTGGTTGGAAGATCTCTTACATCGCCGCTTGCAGGAACTCTGCTGACTTTTTGGCAGTTCGGACACCTTATAGTTTTCTCACTTCCGCTCGCTTTATGCCAGTCTTGCAAACACTTCAAACAAAAACTGTGCAAACAAGGGAGGTGTTTTGGATCTTTAAATATGGTGGAACACACTGAACACGACACTTCTTCCCGAAGATTACTGAGCAAAGTCCTGATGTCCATAACTCAAAATGGAGGGATGGAGGAAATTCGTGCCCAGTCTCCACTCGTCATAAAAGGGGCTCTCCACTCGTCATAAAAGGGGCAGGGCGTCGGCCAGGCGGGCGACTCCCCGTGGATGGTAGGTACCTCATATATGATTCCTATAGTGTACCGAGATGAGCAGTCTTTCTTCTAGTGTAAACCCTTAACCCCGTGGATGATCAGGAGCGCTGACCATTTTGTGCGGATTATTTTGGTTATCAGGGCGAGGCTTGCTCTTAAGATAAAACGAAAAATTTACCGGTATTTTGTAAATAGTACAACTCAATCCCTACCCTGCTTTCAGAGCGCAAAAAAAATATTAGTACTATTTAACGGAAAATGTTCCCCGAATTTAAGTACAAATTGTAAGCGCTCCAGATGTCAGGTGAAAAAAAGAGCACAATATAGACCATCTCAAAAGAGTACCACTGGGATCACACCTGGGTCACCTCCTGATCTGGGTCGACTGACAAGCTGCGAAAAGAGTGGCGCAAGAAGCAGAGCATTCAAATGCCCTTGAGGCATTCTCTTTAATTTGAAAATTAAAGGGAAAAATTATAGCGCTATTCACCCGATAAATCCTTCTCCAGCAGATAAATATTAAGAAGACAAATATTTCATCACCCATTGGATAAAGATTTATCCGGTGGATAACATAATCTGAGTTTTGAACAATTTGGCCTTAATCTATGGATTAGATTATGTCTTAAGCCAGTCAAGTGCATAGTGTTCCCTCTCATCCACATAATACAAACACATTTGTGTTCCTGAGCAACCGATTTATAAGGTGTTTTCTTGGAATGAAGAACCTGTATACTACAACAGGATATGTAACAA